AGATTAAGAAGGCAATACCTTTCAGACAGATTCTTATTTAAGATCTGCCAGCTTTCAGATCATCCCCTAATTCCTAAATTGCATCTTCTTTCAGAGTATATCTCATCTGACCGATACTGGACCCATAAGGACTCTCCCTACTTGTTTAAAAGTTTTGTAATTTTTCTTCAGCTTCCTTACAATGTAAAATAAATCCACTCTTTGATGTTCCTTACGAGGCTATTGTTTACCAACTCGTCATTCATCTAGATCTAGGTATAGAAAAGGATTCTCCAAAGGCAAATTTGAAATTAAAAGAAATTATAGAAAACACCTTTAAAGATTGGCTCGTCATGTACACAGACGCTTCAAAACAGTCTGATGAAGACTATACTGGAGCTGCTGTTTGGATTCCTAAGTTCAAAATCATTCTTAACTTTAAATGCCCCTCACTATCCTCCACTTTTACCGGTGAAGCAACTGCAATCAGTGAAGCTTTGTTATATGTAGAGTCACATAATCTTAATAAAACAGTTATTTTCAGAGATTCAAAAAGTTGTTTGTTAGCTATTGTATGTATATTTGTCCAATCAATTCCATAACAAACATAAATTTCTACTAATTCTTAAAATAAAAAATACCCTATTCAGATGCCATCTTAAAGGAATCCATGTTTCAGTGGCTTGGATTCCAGGCCACAGTGGTATCCATGGTAACGAAACAGCTGATGTACTCGCTAAAAATGCAATTGCTAATGGCATTCTACAAAATTTAATTTACTCACATGACCTAATTTTGCTAGCTAAAAGGAAACTGAATGAAAATTGGAATAAATTATGGGAAGTTTCCAAAAATGTTAAAGGTAAGCACTATGCTGCCATCCAAGAGGTTATTCCTCCCAAGCCTTGGTTCTTTAAATTTAACAAAGCAAATAAACATGCAACTTCAATCATTTGTAGATTAAGAATTGGACACGCTTGTACACGTGCACATCTGGCAAATATCAGACTAAGGGATAGCTCATTGTGTGAATGTGGCTTAGATGAAGGTTCCACAAACCATATTTTTTTCAACTGTCCCAAATTATCCTCCTCCCTTTATAATTACCTTCCTCCTTATATTCCTCGACCTATAGATTTTAATTCTCTTTTAACATATACCAGTACTCCTTTTGTGTATATTTTATGTGATTTTATTAATACTAATAATATGAAACTTTAAATCCTTGTCACTTTTAACATACTGGTAAGAGTCTAACACCTGTGTTTGTCATATTTGTTCTAGGTAATTCAACAAATAGATTTGTCAAAATTCTCGGAGGAAAACTGAATCCTTGTATTATCACAGACTCTTATTTTAATTAAACTCATAAGCTTTCGTTTTCCATTCAATACATCATTGGCGAATTTTATCAAACCGCCACAAAAGAAAGAAGAAGAAGTTATGTTAGCAATATATAAACAATAAAAGTGTAGCGAGACTACTTAACCCGGCAGCGGTCGCGCCTTATAAAATAACGTAAATAGTCGTGTGGATTACGTATGTAGTCCAATTTAAAATAAGAAGAAAGCTTTAAAATATTATTTAAAATGTATTTTTATTTTATTATAAATATGAAACAAGGTAACATTTAGTCAACGGTTAATCATATTTAATAAACAAAAACCATTTATACGTCCCTTTTTATTCAAATTATAATATTTAAAAATCTTTTACATATTAATAAACGAAAATATCATATTAACTTCAAAGTTAGATCACGAATCAGTTTACATTTTTTTATAAAAGTGTTTATGAACAATTTTTGTCCTTAGGTTAAATAAATTTAACAAAAAAAATTTAAACTGTGATAAATAATACTAAAACTTCCTTTAATTATTATATTTAAAATATATTTACTTATTTTACTTGTTATCTAAATGATACCCGACTTGTGACCACGTGGATAACGGAAAATTAAAAAGTTTCTGTTAACTTTTTAATTTTCCGCGACAAATGTAGCTAGTGTAAATTCAGAGTTTCAGAGTATCCAAATCTGATCAGTCATTGTGGCGTGAAGGAGTAAGAAACATCTTGAATCTGTTTGAATGCAATTAGACATAGGAAAACCTTACTTACATAGCGGTAAGGTTTTGGTGAGTATTAATTAAGTATTAGAGCGAAACATCATAACTTTGGAGAATATTATTTTCATTTATATAGATAGGATTGAGCAAGTACAAAAGTGTTTTCTACGTTTTCTGCAATTAAGGACGCTGATAAACATTTCGCGTTGTAAAAGTTTCATCTTTTGCCTCTGTTCCAACGTAGGCGCATAGCAGATATTATGATATCTGTTATGCGCCTACGATACGATTGATACGATATGATATATACCGTTTTAGAATAGACTATGTTGTCACTAAGATCCAGATAATTTTTTAATTTTATTTATAATTTTATTTCTTTATATTTATTGTACTAATTAATAAGTTGAGACACTTTGTTTTTGTTTCACGAAAGCATTTTATTGTAATAATATAAATATCAACTTTAAACTAATTTTTTTGTGATGAGGGCTTGTTATTTAAAACATAAGTTCCTCTCCTCTTTTCTTGGGTACTTAGAGCCTATTATTTCTGGTATTCATGTTTAACCATGCCTCTTTCGAAGTCTCTGTATTAAGCCGCGGACAAACTCACAGACTGTTGAACTTGGCGAAACTATAAGCGTTCCTTGTTGTATTACTATGGAACCCTAAAAAAACTTACTACACTGATCAACTAAAAAGATGATTTCAATTATTTGAGTGCATTTTGCTACTGCTTGTGAGTTTTTCTTAGGGAAACTATCGATATAAAATATCGATATCGGTAGCATCGCAATTAATTTGTCCGTCTTACACTCATAACTTTTTCTATGTTCATGTATTTAACCTACATGTGTGCTTGAAATGTAATAATGTAGATTTAGATTTGTGTGTGGCATAATGACACAATTTTATTGAGTGGGTGTGCAGTACTGTCTATGTAGTGTTTCCTTCCCCACACCAAAAGTGACAGAATTTTTTGTTCGTAGCATTATAAGCGCATTACTCGTCCATTGGGTTGAATGGTGTAAGGTTTGTTAGGTAGTTAGCTGTTTTTGGTTGAATATGTGATAAATAACGGTTATGTACTTAGGTTTATCGATATCATAATGATATAGTATTTTGATAATATACTCGATGTAACACATCGGATCCCAGCATCGATGTTTATCTTTATGTACTACTCCCCCTTAAAAGGAAAGTTGCGGAGCCCCCTTTTTGAGTTTTTTCAATTTTAATTCTGAGGAAATTTTATTTTTTATGGATAAATATTAAGTGTAAAAACCATGGGGACCTTTGGGGGGGAAGGGGTACCCCCTAAGGAAGGGGGAACACCCTTCACCAAAAATAAATAGAGGGACTCATTCAGAGGGATTTCTGTATCTATTTTGAGACTGCAACGTCTCCGGCGCTGCGGGAAGAGCAGCCTATACGCCTGTGCGTAACAAATCTTAGGCATCGGACGAGCCGGACCGCCTGAGGCTGGTCGCCGAAGGCGACCAATAAGCCGAAGCTGCGGAGGCTTGTTGGTTGCCTTCGGCGACCATCCTCAGCCGCTCCGGCTCGTCCGATGCCTACGATTTGTTACAGCAGGCGGAGGCTGCCCTCCCTACGCGCCTCCGGCTCTATAAAAACACTCTAGGGGTAGGACAGACTCGTACCACGTATAGTCGGGGTCTATTGATTCGGTTCCTTGACATAAGTTGAACCTAACCTATTTTATTTGTTATCTGTCCTAATTGGTGGGTACTGTTTTATACAATTTTATACACATATTGCTTTAATTATTTCTTAGAAATCGTCAGTTTTACGTTACGTCCCACAAGCCGGCAAAAAACGGTAAACACTACACATTTTAATTTTAATAGCTCATAATGATAATAATTCTGTAATTTAAATATAAACTGTTAAATATATGTGTATGCATGAAAACTATTTAAATGAGTACAAAATATAATTATTTACGTAAAATGTACAATAAAATGCTACCGAACGTATGACAACTTAACCGTACGGAAAACGAACGTTCAGTGGCGAGAATTCGATGTAATCTGTGGTAAGCATTGACGTAAATATTATAAAAATAATTGATTTTCAATAATTTTTTTCTCAAAAAGTACGCTTTTCCGCATGTTGAAACTTTACGTGTGGGCTTATATTAACGTAACTTTTCTGTAAAAAAAATATCAACCCCCAACTTGACGGACGTCAATGGAAAGCTTAGCCCATACCACAAAACTTCAAAACAGTAAAAGAAAATATAATGACTCTAAGGTATATTTACTTTCATTTAAAAAAATATTGTCATTGGCCTAACCTACTATAACTCTTTGCTTGACCATAAGCATAAGTCTGACTAATAGATTCAATACACTCTCAGGACGTGAGTGGTTAAGCTGGTCACGTTAAAATTGAAGTCGTCAAGTAGTGTTAAAATTATTTAGTTTTTTTATAGATTCGACAAAAAAAAAGCAAATATTCGATGTTTCTGTAAATAAATATGTCGATATATCGAATAAAACAAATATTGGTCAAAACATCGAATCAATCCGATATATCCCTATGAATGAATTATCATTCGGTATAGTCGGTAGAACACTGATTATCTCTATGCGGTAGATTCCAGTCCACTAGTTAGTCTGTGGAATTACCGAATTATCAATGAATTATTTCGACGACGCAGCAGTGAATTTAATTCGGTGTTTTTATTCTAAAGTTTCGGGTTTATAATTTGAAAGATAATTCAAGTCCTTTTAGATTCAAAACATTACACGTATTTAGCAATATAGCAGTCGTATGCTACAGTTCTTCATTTAATTATTTTGTTTTTACATTACACAAACACTGCGTGGACGTAGCTTCTATAGAATATTTTAGTGGTGTTGTGGTGGTGCATTTGTTTATTTATAGATTTTGTAACTTGCAGTGATGTTATCACTTCAGTGTCCCTAAAATGTCTCAAAGGGATACCGCAATACACCTTGTAGCCGGAGGGTATGTTTTAATTGTTTTTCCTTTTAATACGCATTTAGAATTTCATACCAAACATTGGTTAATAAATATATAACGTTTTCACAACTTATAAAACTTTGATGACTCTTACGACGAAGCTTACAATTTTGGTAGCGACGAACTCTGGTCGTAAATAATATTTGAGGTAAACTGTATATTTATAGGGTAATTTTTTTGATATGACCGGATTTAACCTTACGATGTTAAAAATGCACCCCGATATTGTATTGTATATTTTATTTGAATGTAGTAAATCTTGCATTTATTATTGGTTAACGCTCTCTGTAAATAAATTGCAATTTTAAGTGCTGATTTATGCGGTGCGGTTAAGGAAACCATCGTGAGGAAACCTGCATGTCTGAGGAATAAGGAAAAAAAAATATTTCGAAGACATGTGAAGTTCGCCAACACGCATTGGGGCAGCATAGCGGACACTTCCTTGCCCTAAAACCCTATCAGAAATGAGGGGAGGCCTGTGCCCAGCTGTGGGACATATATAGGCTGTAACTTGACTTTTTTTTAAATCTTGCGTATGACATGCAGAGTTTGTATTAGTATTTCGTCTAAAGATTTACGGGGATTTTAACTTTGAATATTATAGATGTCGTACCTTCGATCGGGTCGGGATCTGGTACCTTATTGTATGGTGTTATTAGCAACTCAAGGAAATAAGTAGTTTTAAGTAAAATTTAAATTGATATCTATAGATTTAGGTTATCAATATCCTACACTAGCAATATAAGCAGATACTGTATCACTCTCTTGCTGTATAATAGCTATTTAAGGAAGTTTCTATCTTTCTTAACCTGTACATAACAGATTATTATATCATTATAAAGCAGAGTGATAAAGTAGCTGTTTAGTTGTGAAGATAATGGCTTTGGAAATAAAAAAAGGATTAGTAGATCTTTTGTATAGGTGTTGTATATAAAGTAGGGTTGGGCCGAATATGGATTTCACCGAATACGAATATTCGGCCGAATGTTCGGTAAAATTTTTACCGAACCGAATATTCGGCCGAACATTCGGCAGGATACCCTCGGGACCTAACCTATTTATGTCGAAACTTGTTACCGTAAAGCGCGCGGGATTAGCGCCGGAACCTGCCTCTCGCTCCCCGCCACACCTGACAGTTATTGCATCATCTAGTACTAAGGAAATTGCCGGCACATGCTTGTGTTTTGACTATTCTTCTGATAAAAAAGTATTTCATTGTTTTATTCTTAGTGAAAATTGATAATTATATGATAAAAATGAGCGTTAGGAGATTTACTATTTGGACTTATTTTAGAGAAACTGACGACCAAAGTAAAGAAAATTTACTAATGTAATGTAATGTTTCTTTGTTTGATTCCAAAAACATTTTATCATAGTTCTATTTGCTATAATCGGAAATAAATCTACAGTGCCTCAAAAACAAATGTATAGATTTATGCATTTGAGGCACTCTAGAGTAAGTAGATTTAACCCATAAATAAAATACACTTTCAACAGTAAAAGACATCGCATTAGTCAATTCGTACATTTCAGTACATTGGACACTATGAAAACGAATATTCGGTGATTTAGCCGAATATTCGGCCTAATACGAATATTCGGTAAAGCTGCCGAACATGCCGAATACCGAATATAAAAATAAAAATATTCGGCCCATCTCTAATATAAAGTGGAGTTATAAATATACTAATTAACACTATTTTTATTTTTATTAGGCGAAAATTTATCGACCAAATTGGCGATTTATTGAAAACGGGCCAAATTAGGAGTACCCTTAACCGACGAGCATGTATGCGTAGGTGTATGGATGTGAAGGAGGCGAGAGAGGTGTGTCAGGATTGTGCCAAATGGAAGTCTGTAGTCTCTCCCTACCCCTCTGGGTGACAGGCGTGAGTGTTTATGTTTTATGTATGTAATTAACACTATGAGATTTAAAAGATGAATAACGAAGATAAAAGAGCTTCAATTGAGTTATAAATATTGCATATGTAGCACTAAGATGATCTAAGTAGTACTATGTAGTCTACAATAGATCTACGACAACCTAAGGGTCACAGCTCATTAGAGCCACCCGGCACCCGACCCTCACCGCCTCATCGCGAGGCGTCCACTCGTAGTCGACAGGTAGACCACTAGTAGACGCCGCGTTGTTACAAGTGAACCTGGTGTGGTCATTGAGTGGACCTCGCATCGTCAACAAGCGGACCTCACATGATCGAGTGGCCCTTAAATCATACAATAAATTGATTCTTCTGAACTTCTTCTAAAGTTTTTCTTTGTTGCCGGGTGGCTCTAATGAGCTGTGACCTTAAAATACCACTTTTACCGTAGTGGATAATTGTAGCCGGCAGAAGCACCAAAATCGATACATTAGTGAAATATAACATGTAAATATAGCCACTGTCTGCATTAGGCATACTAAAGATATTTTATCTTGTTTGTTTATAAAATTAATTCAAATTACAAATGGACCCTAAAATTTTTCAATAGTAAAAAGGTTCCTTAAGTGCTTTTGGACCTCAAAATTACTAAAAATACTCCATAGTTCAGTGATTGTAGATGTTAAAGTTCTAATTATCACTAACACTGTACTTCTTCTAAAACTGTCGTAATGGATATAATGACATCTAATACTGTAAAAATGTGTCACTACAAATACTGCCATATTTGATGAATTATATATGTCAATGAAACTATCAGTTTTCTCATGTTAGAGAGCATACTTTTAACAATAAATAAACCCTTTGCATTTCATGTCCTAATAAATTGACCACAAATTCCAATAATTTAAATAAAACAAAGTTAAAAAGAAACTAACAATTTTAATGTACTTTAGTAAGATAAAAGATTTAGCTTAGTTAATGCACATTTTGACTGAAAACTGATGCTTGCACTAATATTATACATAAGCAAGTCAAATTAAATCATTATCTTACTTTACACCGGAGTTCCTTAAATTTTTCTACTCAAAATAAAATTTTGTATCTGTTATGTATAATATACGTAGCATTAAATAAACATAAAATAAACTATAAATAAAATAACATAAGCAATAAGTCAATATTTTTAGTGAGAAGGATGAACCTGATGCTTTAATAATAAATTATCAACATTTGGCGTCAATTTTGTAAGGGTTAATCTTAAATCTCCTCGGCTAATGATGTCCAGTCTGTTTTTTTTTTCGTTAGGAGATTGGTAACAGCGCTAAACCCCCCTTTCCACTAGGTATGACGATGGAAAGGAAATTAAAAATTTCCTCGCTATATTCCATAATACGGGATAAGTAATGGGTATGTTGTTTGGCAGCTAGAATTGCTGATATCCATTTTTAAACTTCTTTGTTTGTACTTAGTTCAGTCAGTTCCTCTTGTATTATGACATTCGTTTCTTCTATGTCACCATATGGATTAATTATCCATGGTGGTATTACCATAGTCAAAATATCCTCAAACCTAGATTCAAAATCTGAATAGAGGGCATTTAAATGTTGAACGTAAGTTGAAACGTCGTCTTCCTGTCAGCTTGTCTGTGACAAATTGGGGAACTGAGAAAGTTCGCCCCGTCCAATATATTGCTTCATTAGTTTTTTTTAGTTTAACTCTGGCAAGAAACGCTGATAAGATGGAATTTGTTTTAAGCAAATTTAAACTGTCGCCTTGTAATTGCAAATTAACCATTTACCACTATAACACATCACAATCATTTGGAAATAATATTTGGCATTTATTTCCTGTCACTATAATTACTCTTATATAGGTATATTATGTAAAAATACCTTTAAGATGCTTTAAGATTTAGTTACAAGTTACGGTGGTCTCCAGAAGCTGTTGTTGCACAAGTTGGCACAAGAACTTTCTGTATATCTTTTTTTTAATAGGATAGGATGACAAATGGGCACACAGTCCACCTGATGGTAAGTGGTTGCTGTGGCCCATAGACATCTACATCTATCCCCGATTACAAATCAAAATACAGATGCATTGTCGTCCGTTGAGGACTAAGATGGAATGCCTCATTTCTAGTAAAAAGGGTCTCCGGGTCTCTACACTCACCATATGAAACACAGCAGCATTAAGCTACTATTTGACGATGGTATTCTGTGAGAGCATGGTCCTTCTCCTGTCGAGCCGACCCATTCTTGCTACAACTATACTACTAATATAACTGCAGCTTGGCTCTACCACGTAAATATATCTACCTCCAAAAATCATATTTTACGCACCTTTATATTGCTTTAAATCTCACCATGGTGCTATTGTACCCCTAATGTAGCACTGAAGCCCATAAAAAGTAGGCCCTTTTGAGCATTGACTTATATATTACTAGCGTGAGGACCGGGCCGACCGAACAACTAAAACGGAACAGTGCACTGGCCCTCAAATTACAGTTTAGGGCCAACGCGAATCGGTCGACAGCAGTGCGCGCGCAGGACAGATTTGCCTGTCATAAATATGTCTAGTTGCGTGGTAAAAGAATGCAAAAATTACATAACAAAGATTAAAAAAAAAACATGGGATATCGTATCATCGGTAAATAACCTTATATTAATTTTCTTACAGTTAAATTATTATATAAACGCATTTTTAAAGTTTTATTTTACAGTTAGCTTAGTTACGTTACAAAGATTAGGCCAGGGTTGGATTCAGACCTTCAAAAATATTATACATGGAAATTAAAATTATACTATTTAAAAAAAAAATATCGCATTTTACGTTTTATTTTTTTTCCATGTGCCGGGATTTTGGCGTCACGCGTCTAGTTTATCCATACGTTTCGTTTTTTGACGGTTTTATTTTTATTTCTGTTTAATTTTTGTCTAAAGAACTTAGTGTAAGTTAAATTTTGAATATTGGTACCTAATATATTTTATATTCAATTAGGGTAAAACGAAAAGAGTGCAAAAGAAACCATATCTGCTTAATTGAATCTGAAAATCTGATTCATAAAATATTTTGAAATTCCGTTTTCAAACCGATTGCTTCTGGAGCATAGAGTTTTTATCTTGGTAGCCCCTAATTAAAGTTGTGTCAAGGATGCAACATAAATGCATTGATTGAGCATCGATTGACCAGAAAGGGAGCTAATTCTAATTTTATTAAAAAACGGGGTACTCATGTACAATACAAAAATTCTCGATATCATAGGGTTAATATTAAATTTAAAAGGACCCAGTAATAATACAAGTCGACCTTTAGGTAAAATTATGATATTTTCGCTTTGTATTATTACGATACTAAATACAAACTATGAAATAATGATACAATTAGGATAATTATACTACGAAATCCGACCCTGGTTACGTCGTGTTTTGATATGACGTTTGACAGATGCGCTACTTTATCTTGTATGAAAAAGTTATGAGTAAAATTTTTAGAACGGCCTATCCTTCCTTTTGAAATCATTGCTTTTGAGTGGCATAGAAGCTAATGAGAAGTTCTCTATTGCTACTGTAACACTTATGAAGGTACTTAATATGAAAGCCTTTACATATTAAGTGGCTACTCTCACTTTTTTACACCACTTGTGTGCTACTTGGGATGTTACATTTATACACTACATATGTTTTTAGTTGCAGGACCTTTAGGTCATAGAAACAAAAAAGTTTGTTTTAAAAGTTCTTTAAAAATTCTATTGGGAGAGAGAGCTGTACAAATAGAACTGTAGGCACTTTTTGGAAAAACTTTTGGCAACACCTAACTACTGTCTAAAAATATGGAAGCACCCATTCAAAAATACCAGGGTAGTAGGTTGAAGTACGGCTAAGGTGGACTAAGAGCTACCCCAAAAGTGCACTCATTTATATCATAAGAAATTTGTCAATGGATGTATAGGAAAACAGGAATTCTCCCTGTACCCACTGATGTGTGAAACTATTTAGTCATTATCCAAAAAGGTTTACAATAAGTGAATTAGTGAACAGGCTTTTGATAAGCTAAGTTAGTATGGTTTATCATGGACTTAAAATACACCGGCAAATAGACAACCTGACAGCCTGAGAATGCATGACAAATTTTGATTTGTGATTGTATGCATTATCTAGTGATGTGTACATTTTATTTACTACTACTACTGTCGAAAAATGATTGTTAACCCCTTGAAAGTGGTAAAAAGATTAAAAAAAAATAGTTTACTGCATGATAAGTACTGAATAACTTCAAAAATTAACTAAATTTGCACCAGGATAGTTCTAAAATAATTAAAACATATTCAAATAACATATTCCCGGGGATAAGCTGCACCTACCTGCCTTTAGTTGGTTTTTAATTCAAAATTAGGTGATTCTATCGATAAAGTGAAACAATTCTCCCTAAGAATCAGATTCAAAGGACATATTTTCGAACTATGGTCTTTGCAGAAAAATTTATTGCCATAGACAGTTTTCCTGGAATTTCTTTTTTAACATAACATCAAAATCGGTTACAGAGTCATGACATTTGCTATTAATTAATCAATTAAATACCATCATTCGCAAATCTCTGATGTAATGGTATTTTGCAATTATCCCGTCTACCTCTCAACGCTATATTTTTATTTACGGTTAATGATTATATCAATATTAATGTATGCGAATATGGGGTGGCCTATGGGGTGGCCAGCCCACCTGAACCTACTGTTATTAATATTGCAAGATTCATATAACCTTTTTTTTATATTTGGTTTATGAGCATTATGAGGATGATGGGATAATCCCAAAATACCGATTTAATTATTTAAACATCCCACATTTAGCACCTCCCATCCTTACAGACTGGCAGGAACTGCTGGAGCTGTGGTTACATGTCCATTAGAAGTGGTGAAGACTCGACTCCAATCATCAAAGGGTGTTGGTGTACCACCTCCACCTCATTCCGGAACTGCCAGCACTAGGAGAATTTGTTCAAAAATTCCAAAACATCAGGTAAATTTCAAGATTCTAAAAATTTATACACATACCTATTTTCCTTTCATCTTTCAAAATTATATAACATTGTCATAAAATAAAATAATTTATTTGACTTGTTCCAAGGAAAGTGACAATCCTAATCTGTTGGGGTTAGGACTTTTGTAAACAGGAAATGAGATGCTCCATCTTTAAAATATATTATGTGTGTGTGTGTGTGTTACGAATTTGCAAACAGTGCTAAAAATATTTTATGATTGTTTCTGCTCATTAGTTTCATATCTCCTAGAGATATATTATTTTAATTGACCTAAAATCGAAGGTTCTATATTCAACATGTAGGTTTTTTAATGTATGCGAACCGAAAATGGCTGAATATATTATGAAGATTTGTTTTATTAAACTGTATCTCTACCTTAAGGGTACCATTTAAATTTAAGGAGAAAATTCCTCTCCTTGTGGAAAAAATAGAGGTGAAGTGTGTATTGTTACTATTCAGATGACAAATTCTTCGATACACTATGTATTAGCTTAGCACCAACTTCGGAAGCTATTAGTTAATTAGGTAGGTATAGAGGTGAAGTGTGTATTGTTAGTATTCATGTGACAAATTCTTTGATACACTATATATTAGCTTAGCACCAACTTCGGAAGCTATTAGGTAATTAGGTAGGTATAGAGGTGAAGTGTGTATTGTTACTATTCAGATGACAAATTCTTCGATACACTATATATTAACTTAGCACCAATTTCGGAAGCTATTAGGTGGAAACTGTTTTATAACTTTGTTTTTAATGTCCATATTTATTTTTATTAAAAGTTTAATATTGTATGCAATGTTTATAATAAATCTGTAAAGAAACATAAGTTGCGCTGGGATGTATAATCCTATTGATTGTCTGAGGTCTGAACATAGCCCCCTCCTATGTTCAGACCTCAGACAATCAATACACCAGTTAATAATCCTAGAGTTCAGCAAATTGTTATATCACTGGGAGGGTGACCATCTGTCCCCAGGACGTATCTGATTTATCATCGACAAGTCCCTCGTTAATAATAAATTAATAAAAGATTGCGTATACCACATGGTATGTGTAGAATCCACCACTTCATTTCGTCCCGGGGTGTCACAAGAGACTGCTATGGAATAACCAGTAAGATCTCGTGACTTCCGCTAGTTCTGTTTCATTTATTAAATAAAACGGCTCATAGTATACGTATGCATGTCTTTAATTTAATATATTTTATTATTATATTTTAGATTTATTTATAGGGTTAATACATATTTACATTCGTGCGTATGGACACAAGAGAGGAAAATTGAAATTACAAGTTTTGTTATATTAATTTTTGATTATCATTTATTATTTCCACAGACCTCTGTACATGCTACTCATATAACATTACATGCACTATGTGCTCTTTTCTCGATAACTTTTATTCAATAAACTATCTACAATAGTTATCTTTATAGAATTAAGTGAGTTTATAAATACGATAAGAATTGACATGATTTTCGACTTTATTTGTTTATTTTGTTATAGTGCAATCGGGATTTATAATAGAAATTGTGATGGATATAGTTCGTGCCAAATCGATTGAGAAAAACGGACATTGACCTTTCGGTCGTTTCACCAGGGGCTACAAACCTTCAATATATAGGCACTTTTTATATTTAGTACTTTCTTTATTTATAATGATTTTTTATTTTTTTTTTATAATGATTGATATAATATATATCTATTAATTATTATTAAAAAGTTATGTAAAAGATTGCTGTAAAAAAAATCATCTATTGTTATAAAGTACTGTATTCATTTAACAACAAAAATCATTAATTTATAACACATTTAAAGATTCGAGTGTTAACCACTACGAATAAATATGTACTAATTCAAAAGATAAAACTTAATTTTAAATATTATATAAGAACTTTATTTTTATTCAGTGCATGCGGGCCGGCCCAAAAAAGTGATGCATCTCTGGCTGCCATTGTCACGTTTCTTTTAGAACAAACTGACGTAAAGCGCGTTTCGTTTATTTAAAGGGATAAATTTGCTAAAGCTCAATATGGTGATTATATTGGTTCAAATATTTTTTTATATGAAACTGTTATTGAATTGCTGCGTTACTTACCATAAATTGAAATATAAAATATAACACATTTTTCGTGATGTACCGTAAGATTTTACGATGTTTATAGGAACCACAGACAATATTATTTAAGAAACAAAACATATGTGCTGACCTAGAAGTGTGAATTATATCAATATTTAAATATTGTTATCACATCTAAATTGAGATTTTGTAAGTTACGTCTTTTGACACTCTGCTCATATCTGAGGTCATCGTCTGTTTTTCTCAATCGATTTGGCACGAACTATAGTAAAATGTATTGCATGCTAAATCTTGTTTTGACATTCATACCTTGTTTTCGATGTTTGCTTTAACAAACTTTGAACGAGAGAACTAGTTTTGGAAAATATGTAGATTATTGTACTCGGTTTTTGCTATTTATTACTATATATCTGTCAGTACCTTTTATTAATGATAACATATCATAAATATCAAAGAGCTGTTAAGAGCAGCAGCATTAGAGCTTTAACTTAATAAATTACGAAATCGATCAAAGAAAATCTTTAGTACTTGTAAGTCATTTATTTAATTTATTAATTTTAAATAATTAAGTCATTAATTTACATTAATTATTTACATTACGCTTAAGTTTTTCAACATAAACATTTCAACTTCATAGTATTATGTTATCTGTTCAGGATTACATATAAACTTTTTTATTGATCTATTTTTAGTACCTATAGATGAAGAGTAAACTAGTAAGTATTTTGATATCATTCAGATCATCGTCCATTGAGCTGCGAGAATAAATATACGCGTATTAAATGTGTCAAGGGTATTAATAACTCCGAAGCAAACTGCAGTAAACATCGCGGATGGGAATTTTGTTTGTTTCGTTCTCACTGTGGATTTCTTTTGATTTTTATTAAATGCGCGTTAGTGTGTAAGTACATTGGTTTGAATGCCACATGGAGTTTTCTTTCAGTCATCCAGTAAACGAAATAAAATAGTGATAGATATGAATTTGAAGAAGACGTCTCAATAATAGCGGTCCTTATAATTAAAAAGCGGTCTAGGTTGCGCCCGGAAGGTCCACATAACTTCCCAGCGGAAAGAATAAAAAAATATCATATGTTTTTATATTTTATACAACTTTTCATTCGGCACAACAAACGACTTGACCGATTTTGCTCAAAATTTAATGAGGTCTAAGTTACATAATTATGCGTTACATGAAACTGGTCCCATGTCAATATCACTCTTTGTTCTAGAGATATACGAGGCAAAAATTGAATCCGAACATACATACATACATACACATACATACGTACATGTGCACACACGAACTTTACACTGACCAATCTTCTTCGGCGGCTATGATATGGTAACTATGGTTAACTATGACATCTGGACGTTGAACATCTTAGTCCCCCCGTGACCATGGGTGCTGTAAAGTGCTCGAAACATCGGGTATATAAAAAAGTTAATATACACGATAAAATCCGTAAAAACTAGTATTATTTAAATGTGTTCGCGTAAATATACGAAATCATTAAAGCAATTTTATGTTGCAGAAGTGAACGGCGGAAAAGAGACGTCCTAGACGAAAGTATATCGATCAAATTGGCGATTTATAATATAATGGACCAAATTTAGAATACTCTTAACCGACGAGCATATATGCGTAGGTATATGGATGTGGAGGAGGCGAGAGAGGTGTGTCAGGATCGTGCCAAATTTAAGTCTGTAGTGTCGGTGACAGGAGTGAGTGTTTATAAATCCTAAATAGCACATTAAGTCCCCAATTGTATTTTTTTTTTGTATTTTGGTGTTTTAATCACTAATGTGATACTTATTTTATGAAAAACTTAAGGTGTTGCCCAACTCAAAGATATTCATTATTCACCTAATGCATTGCAGCTTGAGTAATCCGCTATAATTTGTAAAACATATACCTACTATATTATATCGACATATATTTTAATATTTCCGCGAAATTATCTTAAACCTACTTACAAAAAAACTATCTATACGACTAGTAAAATATTTACGTTTCGAATAATCATAGCACAAGATAGCATAACCATTAAAAGTTATCAAAACTCAATTCAGTTACTAATGGAGATATTGAAATGGAAAAATTCAAAGCACACCTTTTGCTTATTTTTACTTACAAGGACGAGACATAATCAATGTTTATATCATTGAAGATACTTAATTCATTTAAATGGGCTGAATATATGCGCATCACATTATTACATAGCCCGCGGTAGTCCACTACAGAACATGGAGCATGCCTATCCTATTTCAGAGGGGAACTTCCGTAATTGCCTCGCTTAGAAGACGGGCGGGTTGTTGATTGCACTACTAGATGTATTGTACCTGTGACGCGATCCTACGTCACCGGTCTTCGTATTTTTATCTGGAGTAAACAAGATGAGAACTTTTTGGTATTCTGCACATTTCCCTCTTACGATACCCACGGGCAGCAACGGGGTTGGTTGGTTTGACGTCTTAATTTTTATAATGGGTATACTAAATTTCGTTTTTATTGTTAATTTAGCAATATTTTTGTATATTTAACATTTTATCTACATTTAAAATAAACTGAAAAAGTTGTTACCATATACGAGTATCTAATATTTTTCGAAAAAAAAAAGCAGTAAAATATTAAAAAGATACTTATGACAAATCAGTTTATATTAGAATGTTTGTCTGTATACCTTAGTCCGTTTGTGTTTTTGTGATTCACGCAAAAACACAGACGTTTTTTTTAATACGTCGACGGTCTACGTCTCACGGTAGTGTTTTAAACAGCGTTATATATTCAATACATGAAGTGATGAGTTTTTCCTCAGTTGCTAACCTAAATACTTATATTATAGATTGGTAGATGCTTATTTTATGATGCTTTGAAAATGAATTTTCTTATTCAAACCGGA